AAAGAATGTAGCCCATTGTAGTGTTCTAGTTCATTGGGTGCGCTAGGGTGGACAATAGTAGTGTTAGGGTGGACAATAGTAGTGTTTCGTCCAGGTGTAGGTGAGGGGTGGACGCTCTCTCATGGTAGCAGTCGGTATGTTATGTCTTGTAGATCATTATTATGGAAATGTGTATAAAGTCAGGGGGGTGGGGTGGATGCTCTCTAATCTAGAGTTTGTACAAAAAGACAACTCTGTATTGTATACATTGAATAAATTGCACACATTTGACTTGAAATGGAAATCTTTTTAACTTGTATAAAATATGTTTGATTAACTTGTATAAAATATGTTTGAATAGATGTTTCAACTAATGAATGTGACATAGTTTGTAAGTTACTGTATAGGTAAGCATGGATGTGATATGTTGTATGTTACTCTATAGGTAAGCATTAGATGCAGTAACATTAGTTTTAATAACCCGGTACCTGGAGTTGTCTGAAAGAACTTATTTTCTTCTGGAGATTTCAGCGTGTTATCAACTATGGATACAAGATTTGTTCATGACTATGGATAATATATTTTTAAACTATGGATAACATATTTTTAAATTATGGATACAAGATTTTTAAGTCTGATTTAAAAACATATTTCACATTGACGTGGTTGATTTATCACATATGTAACTGTACCCATACAAAAATAGTTACACTTATAAAAGGCCTTCTCCACATTGACTGATACTGATAGAGACATGTAGCCCACATTGACTGATTTAGACATGTAGCCCACATTGACTGATACAGACATGTAGCCCACATTGACTGATACAGACATGTAGTCCACATTTACTGATACAGACATGTAGTCCACATTGACTGATACAGACATGTAGCCCACATTGACTGATGCAGACATGTAGCCCACATTGACTGATACAGACATGTAGCCCACATTGACTGATACAGACATGTAGCCCACATTGACTGATACAGACATGTAGTCCACATTGACTGATACAGACATGTAGCCCACATTGACTGATACAGACATGTAGTCCACATTGACTGATACAGACATGTAGCCCACATTGACTGATACAGACATGTAGTCCACATTGACTGATACAGACATGTAGCCCACATTGACTGATACAGACATGTAGCCCACATTGACTGATACAGACATGTAGTCCACATTGACTGATACAGACATGTAGACCACATTGACTGATACAGACATGTAGCCCACATTGACTGATACAGACATGTAGTCCAAATTGACTGATGTAGACATGTAGTCTAAATTGACTGATGTAAACATTAGTCCACATTGACTGATGTAGACATGTAGTCCACATTGACTTATGCAGACATGTAGTCCACATTTACTGAGACAGACATGTAGTCCAAATTGACTGATATGGACATGTAGTCTACATTGACTGATGTAAACATTAGCCCATATTGACTGATACAGACATGTAGCCCACATTGACTGATACAGACATGTAGCCCACATTGACTGATACAGACATGTAGCCCACATTGACTGATACAGACATGTAGTCCACATTGACTGATACAGACATGTAGCCCACATTGACTGATACAGACATGTAGCCCACATTGACTGATACAGACATGTAGTCCACATTGACTGAGACAGACATGTAGTCCAAATTGACTGATGTAGACATGTAGTCTAAATTGACTGATGTAAACATTAGTCCACATTGACTGATGTAGACATGTAGTCCACATTGACTGATGCAGACATGTAGTCCACATTTACTGAGACAGACATGTAGTCCACATTGACTGATGTAGACATGTAGTCCACATTGACTGATACAGACATGTAGTCACACATAGACTGATGTAGAAATGTAGTCCACATTGACTGATGTAGACATGTAGTCCACATTGACTGATACAGACATGTAGTCCACATTGACTGATACAGACATGTAGTCCACATTGACTGATACAGACATGTAGTCCACATTGACTGATACAGACATGTAGTCCACATTGACTGATACATACATGTAGTCCACATTTATTGATGTAGACATGTAGTCCACATTGACTGATACAGACATGTAGTCCACATTGACTGAGACAGACATGTAGTCTAAATTGACTGATGTAGAATGTAGTACACATTTATTGATGTAGACATATAGTCCACATTGAGTGATGTAGACATGTAGTCCATGAATTACTGCCATTGATCAATTAATACCACATACTACCACTAGGGCAATAAATCATTAACAATATCAGGGTGGTCTATCAGTATTATTGATTAGATGTGTCTGGTAATGTTAGGGTGGGTCAATGACAAATTTTTGCTATTCTAGTAATGATATTCATACTGGACATCAGGCATGCGCAGCATAGGACAACAATCCTACACAAAATGTCACCAGTCCTGTGCAGCATACGAAAAGAGGTCTGCACAGCATACAACAACAGGCGGCACAACATACAACAACAGGCCGGCACAACATACAACAACAGGCCGGCACAACATACAACAACAGGCCGGCACAACATACAACAACAGGCCGGCACAACATACGAGTTGGCGGCATATGGGACTCGCTCCCCCCCCCCCTTTTTTTTAAAAATAAATTTTTTTAAACCTGTTGTGAAGATCATGTTATAAATAATACAACAACAGGCCGGCACAACATACAACAACAGGCCGGCACAACATACAACAACAGGCCGGCACAACATACGAGTTGGCGGCATATGGGACTCGCTCCCCCCCCCCTTTTTTTTAAAAATAAATTTTTTTAAACCTGTTGTGAAGATCATGTTATAAATAAAAAATAAAATTTCCTAGTTTTTAAATTTATAACATGATGCCAAGGAATGTCTAAGTAATGACTGTAAATATTTATTGAATTTTAAAAGTAATTTATTATTGGTCAATAGAAATATTTATAGGCCCTATCTATATTTTCTTGCAGCCTGCAGTTGTTTTGTTCATAATGTAATATGGCCATCATGGCATGTTGAGTTGTGCATATGGCCATCATGACATGTTGAGTTGTGCATATGGCCATGATGACATGTTGAGTTGTGCATATGGCCATCATGACATGTTGAGTTGTGTATATGGCCATCATGACATGTTGAGTTGTGCATATGGCCATCATGACATGTTGAGTTGTGCATATGGCCATCATGACATGTTGAGTTGTGCATATGGCCATCATGACATGTTGAGTTGTGCATATGGCCATGATGACATGTTGAGTTGTGCATATGGCCATCATGACATGTTGAGTTGTGCATATTGCCATCATGACATGTTGAGTTGTGCAGGTCTTCTCCACAATAATAAATGACCTAAACAGAACCAGAAAGACAGTTCTAACTTGTAAATCTTCTACTAGTTCTCAAATATTTCAAGCACTGTCCAGTTCCGATGTCTTTAGGGGAATGTGTGGTCCAGTTCCTTTATACTAATAAAATTATACAAACTGATGAATAACTTAACTTCATGATAAACAATCAATTTTTTTAATACTAAACAATCAAATCATTAATACTAACAAATCAATCATTAATACTACACAATCATTCATTAATACTACACAATCAATCTTTAATACTAAACAATCAAATCATTAATGGTACACATCAAAATAAATTAATACTACAAAATCTTTTAATAATACAAAGTCACTCCACAATCAAACATTAATAATATACAATCAAATCATTAACAGAACACAATCATTAATACTACATAATCAAATCATTAATGCTTCATAATCAATCATCAACACTACAAAATCAATCATTAATACTTCACTATCACTCATTAATACTACACAATCAATCATTAATACTACACAAAACTACATGATTAATCATTTAATCCTGCATACTGTTCTAAAGTACAGCATCATCTTTATTTCCTTAGTTCAATGTCATCTTTATTTCCTTAGTTCAATGTCATCTTTATTTCCTTAGTTCAATGTCATCTTTATTTCCTTAGTTCAATGTCATCTTTATTTCCTTAGTTCAATGTCATCTTATTTCCTTAGTTCAATGTCATCTTCATTTCCTTAGTTCAATGCCATCTTTATTTCCTTAGTTCAATGTCATCTTTATTTCCTTAACTCAATGTCATCTTTATTTCCTTAGTTCAATGTCATCTTTATTTCCTTAGTTCAATGTCATCTTTATTTCCTTAGTTCAATGTCATCTTCATTTCCTTAGTTCAATGCCATCTTTATTTCCTTAGTTCAATGTCATCTTTATTTCCTTAGTTCAATGTCATCTTTATTTCCTTAGTTCAATGTCATCTTTATTTCCTTAGTTCAATGTCATCTTCATTTCCTTAGTTCAATGTCATCTTCATTTCCTTAGTTCAATGTCATCTTCATTTCCTTAGTTCAATGTCATCTTTATTTCCTTAGTTCAATGCCATCTTTATTTCCTTAGTTCAATGTCATCTTTATTTCCTTAACTCAATGTCATCTTTATTTCCTTAGTTCAATGTCATCTTTATTTCCTTAGTTCAATGTCATCTTTATTTCCTTAGTTCAATGTCATCTTCATTTCCTTAGTTCAATGCCATCTTTATTTCCTTAGTTCAATGTCATCTTTATTTCCTTAGTTCAATGTCATCTTTATTTCCTTAGTTCAATGTCATCTTTATTTCCTTAGTTCAATGTCATCTTCATTTCCTTAGTTCAATGTCATCTTCATTTCCTTAGTTCAATGTCATCTTTATTTCCTTAGTTCAATGTCATCTTTATTTCCTTAGTTCAATGTCATCTTTATTTCCTTAGTTCAATGTCATCTTCATTTCCTTAGTTCAATGTCATCTTCATTTCCTTAGTTCAATGTCATCTTTATTTCCTTAGTTCAATGTCATCTTCATTTCCTTAGTTCAATGTCATCTTCATTTCCTTAGTTCAATGTCATCTTCATTTCCTTAGTTCAATGTCATCTTCATTTCCTTAGTTCAATGTCATCTTCATTTCCTTAGTTCAATGTCATCTTTATTTCCTTAGTTCAATGTCATCTTTATTTCCTTAGTTCAATGTCATCTTCATTTCCTTAGTTCAATGTCATCTTCATTTCCTTAGTTCAATGTCATCTTCATTTCCTTAGTTCAATGTCATCTTCATTTCCTTAGTTCAATGTCATCTTGACCCTATTAGCGTCCCCTTTATTCGCCTAAAGACGCCAATATCCTTCTGGGTGGGGGGAAAGTACGGCGCGCGTGGAGTGCTTGTTTATTATCTACCAGGATGACATCCCCTTTCTGCCACGTGATGTCCACAGCCAGGTCGTCCAAGGTTTTCTCAAGGTCGTCCATGATCTCTGGTGGCATGGGCGTCCCGTCGGAGAAGGTGATCGCTTGCTTTGAGGAGTTTCGGCTGTCTTGCCAACCTCGGTAGGCGGCAATGATGGAGTTGAACCAGATCTGGTACAGTGGAAGGCAGACAATGATCAGATGGTATGTTACAGTGGAAGGGAGACAATTTTCAGATGATTTGGTACAGTGGAAGAGAGACAATGATCAGATGATGGTTGGTACAATGGAAGGCAGACAATGGTCAGATGCTCTGGTACAGTGGAAGGGAGACAATGATCAGATGGTTTGGTACAGTGGAAGGGAGACAATTGTCAGATGGTTTGGTACAGTGGAAACATTTGATAACATAGTCAATATTGGTCGGAGTTAGCGTTTGACTCCAAGGAACTAAAAGTATGACTTTTAACTACTTGCGACTCCAAGAATTGTATGACTTTGGACTCTTGTGACTACAAGAATTGTATGACTTTGGACTCTTGTGACTCCAAGAATTGTATGACTTTGGACTCTTGTGACTCCAAGAATTGTATGACTTTGGACTCTTGTGACCCCAAGAATTGTATGACTTTTAACTACTTGTGACTCCAAGAAATGTATGACTTTGGACTCTTGTGACTCCAAGAATTGTATGACTTTGGACTCTTGTGACTCCAAGAATTGTATGACTTTTAACTACTTGTGACTCCAAGAAATATATGACTTTGGACTCTTGTGACTCCAAGAATTGTATGACTTTTAACTACTTGTGACTCCAAGAAATGTATGACTTTGGACTCTTGTGACTCCAAGAAATGTATGACTCTCGTGAATTTTATTGCCCCCCCCCCCAACCCGGCATAGCTAAGAAATCAACTGAATGATACTATCATTTGACTAATCAGATGTGTAGCTTTACTTGATGCCACCTAGTGCTCCCCAACACCCTACTAACGTCATCACCACGATGGTAATTTTAACTCCAAAAGTACCACCCTCACTCCCCCTCCCCCCCCCCCCAAGTGTCACCACTGATGCTACTATGTGTTTGAATAGCTTTACTTGATGCCACCTAGTGCTCCCCAACACCCTACTAACGTCATCACCACGATGGTAATTTTAACTCCAAAAGTACCACCCTCACTCCACCTCCCCCACCCCAAGTGTCACCACTGATGCTACTATGTGTTTGAAAAGTCCTGCCTTTTTCCCGGTACGTTCATTCTGCTTGATGGCGGGCAGTACTGCCGTGACCGTCTTGAGACACCCGCCGGGCAGCCATTCGAAGAACGTCCCCTGTTCCCGGCACCTCTCCTCCGCCACGCTCTCGTCGTCCGTCAGAAAAGTGGACTTCCAGCCTCGACCGATGGCGGAACTGGGATCGTCGTCCTCGGGCAGTACCCTGGTGTACTGGACTTGCTTCTGCTCCAGGTCTCTGTACGGTTGGTAGGAAAGATTGGTTTAGGATTATGGTAGGTAAACAGGACAGGTCTATAAATATCTAAACCATGTTTAAATCCAGGCTATTATGTATATGGTGGTAAAGTGGTGGCGGCTAAATAATAGGCCAAAACATATGGCATAAGACCATATCTTGATCAAGCTACATATCTAGATCTAGTAGCATATAAGTATAAGTGCCCCGGCTTACAAGTCTACCTATATAATGACAAACAACTAAAGCCCCTTGTTAATGACATACAAATAAAATCTCTCATTAGTGACATACAACTAAAAACCTCCCATTAATGACATACAACTAAAAACCTCTCATTAATGACATACAACTAAAAACCTCTCATAAATGACATACAACTAAAACCTTCAGTGAAGTCGGAAACTTACTTGACAAACTGTGGATGCTTCTCCAGCATGACATTGTAAACGAGATGGGACAGTGCCAGTGGAGTTTGGCCACCGCTAGCTGGCGCCACCTCACAGAAGAAGAAGAGGATGCTGGGAGACGTTGGCACTTGCGCCATCTCGTGGTGAAAGGGGATCTGTTGATCGGGTGGCGCCTAAAGAAAAAAACAACAATTTTCTGGGATAGGAGCAGAGTTGGAATAACTGGTACTGTAGGCCCACAACGCATGTCTCCAACTTAACCTTTACTCTATTACATGACAAAGATGAAACTCACTTCATTGGCTGTGAAGACCTTGGATGTGATTTGTGTTCTGGGCGCAGCTCCACCAACGTAAGGCAGTGGCTCAACCCCGTAAGACGTCACAAAGCCGTCAAAGTCTTGCGCGTCTTTGAACGGGAATCCCCTGAACAAGATAGCACCATACTTGAGCAACTGTTGGCTTATGAACCCTCTCTGCCCTTCCAACCAATCAAATGCGTCTTGTGCCGTTTCAAATTTACTATCGCTGTCGGGGTTGGGGGTCAAGACGAGAGGAAATACTTGCTGGTCGAATTCCTTCTGTTCTGGGATGCGGACTTCTTTGACCTGGTCAGCGCAATCGCTCATCTTGAAAAAATCGTCAGTCTGCTTTCAGGGTAGAAGAGGTATTGATGAAATAAAATAGGCACTCGGTGGAGAAGCGAGTAAACTGAAACAACTTAAAATCAACTTAAAATGTAGACTTACCTCGTCACTTGCTACCTTTAGTGTTACCTGGCCGATTACTGCTAGTTCTGGTACACGATCAGTTTCTGCTAGGGGTGCTACCCGGTCAGCCTCTGCTAGGTGTGCTACCTGGTCTGTTACGGCTAGATATGCTACCTGGTCGGCTACCGCTAGATGTTTAGTCCATGTGCCACTTACATGCGTGTAATTATGAGATTACAGAGCTGGAGCTTGTTAAACCAAAAGTATGACTAAAAGTGGAGACAAGTTTTGAAGGTCAAGGTCGGACACAGTGGCCCAGTGGCGTTGTATACATTCATATTTGTCGTCATTATGAAAAAGGAGTTTGAGTGTTTCTTTCTTGCTCCTTTACTCTCTCCCTCTTTTTTTCCCCTTATCTTATCCCCCCCCCCCACTCTCCCTCACACACAATTAAAACAGTATCGTAATTAATTAAATTCAAGCTGCCAAATATGTTCATGAAGAGAGGCAGCAATCAGGTTAAGGTAGAAGGAAATATGGGAAACAAGGTCTGGGAAATAAGGCATGGGAAACAAGGTCTGGGAAATAAGGCATGGGAAACAAGGTCTGGGAAACCTGAAAAAGGACATTCCTCTTGCTGTCCGCTCGGACACAACATTTCAGCTAAGTGTTTTTTTTTATATTTTGTGTTATTCGTTATTTGTTCGCCGAAGAAGACATCTTGTCTACACGTCCGTTGTTTTTGTTGCGTCTTTTTTTGTGTCAGGTTTTACCAAGCCTGGTTACGAAGGTTTCCAAATAGTTTCAAAAGCTTTGGTCTGATTTAAGAGCCACGTTTTAGTTTTAGACGAAATAAAGACTAGGCCCTTTGAAATGTTTCTCCCCTTTCTTCAGTTTGAGCCCAAATGTGCCGCCCCTAAAGTACGTCAATCAAATTTTGGGCACTTGTATCCCCTCCCCCCCCCCCCCCGGTCGTCACAAACAGTCACAAATCTCAGACACCCCCCCCCCAACCCTAAAGTACGTCACACTTTCGAACTAAAAATGTGTTTAAAAATAAAATTGTATCTAAAACACACATCACTCTTAAATTATTACATTTATAAAAGTGACATCTTCTGTCAGAATACATCCATCACAAATGAAGGTTTAACATCACAGTCAATTTCAGGTTTTATTTGTAGGAAATTTTTTTTTCCTCCAAAATGTGTGACGTCACGTAAGATGTTTACCTACCGTGTTTCAAGCTGCCACACTTTCTGAGGACCCCCACCCCCCCCCCAAACCCCCCCCCCTTTTCAGGAGCGTGACGCACTTTATGGACAGCCGCAAAGAATAAATTGAGCTCACGGTGTGCCCTCCACCCTTTTTTTTTTTCCTCCAAAATGTGTGACGTCACGTAAGATGTTTACCTACCGTGTTTCAAGCTGCCACACTTTCTGAGGACCCCCACCCACCCACCAAACCCCCCCCCCTTTTCAGGAGCGTGACGCACTTTATGGACAGCCGCAAAGAATAAATTGAGCTCACGGTGTGCCCTCCACCCTGCTCTTCATTTGTGGCGACGCCCATGTGATAGCTGCTATGTGTTGGTAAGGTCTACCTTTTTGGTTACTTTATATTTTATTCATATGTGGAACTTTGGTCCCATTCGAACTTTGGTCACATATGAAACAATAAAAAAAAAAAAAAAACTAGATAAACTAATGAGGACTTATCTTGCCTGGCCCTCGACCATTTGTCCCTGAAATGGTGACATAGAACACAATGTAATAGGCTTAACTCAAACAGATAGAACACAATATAATAGGCTTAACCCTAACAGATTACTGAATATTTGTGTGTCTTCATGATTTAAGTTATCTACCACATCTGTACAGTCCCATATCGTCAACAATAACACTGGTACCCGTACTGTCACCAGAACATACTATGTCACATACACCAGGTGCACTATCACCAACATGTACACTGTCACCATCATATACATACACTATCATATACCCTGTCACTACACTGATACCAACAGATACACTGTCACATGCACACGATACACTGTTACCAACACACATATGCCACGTGTACGTGATACACGCTCACATTTGTCACAATACATTCAAACACTATCACCCTGTCACCAACACATAGGCCTACAATGTCACAAAAACTGTCACTAGCATACACACAGTTGGTCAAGTAATCATGTCAAGAATGTCAATGGCCTCTATGGCTGCACTCAACAGCCAGACTCAGGTGCGATGGTAAACATTTCTAGTACTCCATGATCAGTCATTTGTATGACCCAGCTAAGTCATTTGTATGGCCCAGCTAAGTCATTTGTATGGCCCAGCTAAGTCATTTGTATGGCCCAGCTAAGTCATTTGTATGGCCCAGCTAAACCTCTGTATGTACACAAACATGAGCTCTATCACAGGATTCCTATGAAGGGAAGTGCATAGGCACGGGGGGGGGGGGGGGGGGGGGGGGGGGGGGGGGGGGGGGGGGGGGGGGGGGGGGGGGGGGGGGGGGGGACACCGCCCCGGCGCTATCTTCAAAAGTTGCCAAAATCATGTTATTGAATATCATACGTGATTTTAGTGAGAGAAGAGCGCCACAAAGTCTAATTACTCCAATGCAGACAATACAATTCCTATTCTGTATTTGAACAGCCATCCATAAATTATTTCAATAAAATAGAGGTTGGGGGTGGGGGTGGGGGGTGATTTCAAAAATGCTTCAAAAAATTGTTGACAAGGGGGAAAAAGGGAGAGGTGTGGGGGTGGTCAAAATAAGTTGACGTTAACAATTCTATTTTTCTTGGATCTAAATTTGAAAAAAAAAAATGTCTAGAAAAGTTGTTGTATAAAATATGTTATTTGTATAGCATGTAAAGACCTAAACAAATTCTTTGAATTTCAAAGGCTCGGCACAGCGCCTTCAATGAATAAGAAATCCTCTGCACCAATGCGGTCAATTCGTATAGTATGGCTACTAAAAGTCAGAGAGACTTGATTATTTGCACCAATAGAAATTGCTGATAGTTAGACATAACACGAATGATGTCCAGAATAATAATAGGCATATTCATATGGAATTATATAAACATAATCCATAACAATTGCTAGAGTTTAAAATGTGGCGTATCTGACATGAAAATAGCAGCAACAAAAAACAAACAAAAAAACTAACAATATATGTACAATGTTTATGTTATAAATCATATCTAAAATTCTGCAATTAATCTACGGATTATTTTAGCTTACACACATGAAAGGAAGTTTATATCTATCATCTATGCCATGCACTATGGTATTATACCTAATAGACTGGTACCGGTACATTAACTAATTTCTATATAACCCTTAAAAATTAATACACTAATTTTAGTTTCATAAAACCTATTTTTTGTCTCATGCTTTTGTTGCGGAGAGAAAACTCTTCATACCTGACTTTAAGATATTGTAACTTGGTTACAGTACGTAATGACGTCCTAGCAATACTTTTAAGTTGAAGCACTGTCGAAAATGAAATTTGCATGGGGAGGGGCTATATTTTTGTCGAGCCCTGCTAATAAATAAATCAATTTTACTTTACTTGTAATATCGTTTTGTGATGTCTATACGTCCACTTAAAAATAATATTAAAAGTGTTAAAATTCATATTTAAATACTGTTACTATTATTAAGTTTTCTCTTTTTATTAATTTCTTCTTAAAATAATAAAAATGATAACACAATTATTCATTATTTAAAAACATATATTTTGAGGATAAAACTAAGATAAACTTGATGCTGGGTGATAACTGGTAGCAAGGTTCAAATTAATGTTGAACATTTTTGCGAATGAGCTTTCCTACTGTCTCGTACCTCCGTCTGCTCTCCAAAAGTGCACAAATAGTGTCGACGTCACGATAGTTCTGTGTGTGGGAAACATATTTGTAAATAGTGATTTTTCGAAATCAAAATATCAATTTTTTCTGGATCATCTTTCATTTCCTGAAGAAAATATCGAATAGGTAAGTAAATTTATGGCTATTTAGATATATAAATGTAATGAGTTTACCAAAGTGCACCAGTGGAGTCTACAGAGTTTTCTAATGCCGCTTCACGTCACTCAATAATTTATATTTTATATTAACTGTCGTCTGCAGGGTGCACCGAGTGCAAGTGCAACGTTGATAGTGTTTTTAAGCGATACCAGTTTTTAGAAAATTTAGCAACGTAGGACATGCATTGCTGTCGCTCCTTTCTCCTCTCTGTAATGCATGATTCAGTTTGTTTCGATTCGAACACGGTAAAATTATCGTATTTTATTTGTGTCGAATTCTAAACAAATGCAATCTCCTAGTGCCTAGTGATAGTGAAACCTGTGCCTGTGAATAGCACAAATCCTTGGGTCCAAAGCAAAAATGATGCTTTTTGCAGGTGCAGCCAGAACGACTTTAAATTTTGTGTTAGGGGTTTAGCTTTGCTCTTTGCATAGAGTAAATTCATGTCACCTTGGGCTTATGGCTTATATTATATTGAAATACCAACACTCAGCTTGTGGGTGATGGCACCAAGAGTTGGAGAATGATGTGTAGTGATGACTTTTCTGTTTTTCCACTCAGGAGTATTGTGGTCATCAACTAAATCTAACAATCAATAAAGCTTATGTGAAATGTTAAATTATTAAAATCAAATTTTCTGTTTCATTTTTATTAAAATTCAAAAAGAAATTTTAAAAAGAAACTTATCCTTGCTGATACCACAAAGTCGCACGCCACACATATTTCTTAAATGGCTTGTATGCAATTCATTTCTATCATTCGCCATTTATGGTAAATTTCAACATTGTTCCTGGAGAGGAACTATGTCTCCCATCCCACCCTCATTTTCAATATAAAAATAATAAACAAATAATTTTCCCCATATCCATCCCCCAGAGAAATAAAACGATAGCCGGAAGTAAACTTGGGGAACCTCCATGACAATATATCATGGGAGACGTTGCCGTCCTTACCACTGACCCAATCCTAACTAAATATGCACATGGAAAATAAGAAGAAAAGAGAAAGCAAATAGCAACTGCATACATTTACATTTATTTATTGTATACTATAATAACCACAGAACAATTGTCGAAATAAGCGAGATTTGATTGTGCTTAAACATTTTTCATGCAATTCATTTACATCTAATTGAACATGTAGCCTACAGTTTTGTATGAATCTGTTGTAAAAATGTTTGTAAATGTGCCGCGTCAACATTTTGATCATA